TGTATCTGTTCCTGAAATTTAAAGACACAAGTTTTTGCATAATTTTTGGCGCATGAAATTATTCGATGCTGTTTACCGCTATTCGGAGAGCAATCGAGTCGGTTTTGCTCTTCGATGAGGGGGGGGTTTGGGAGATGCAGGGCAGCCTGCCAGCGGCCGTGTTGGTGTTTTTCCCCTTGGAGATGCGTTGCCACAGCAGCAGGGAAGCGGGATGTGCGGCCGTCGCTTGACAGACACCTCTCTGTTTGCTGCAGGGGCTGAGCGAATACAAAAGAAACTTCAAATGGAAAACCCCAGAGTTTTGTAGCCCATCCCAACAGCAGAAATCCTTGTGGGCAGGACTTCGGTCGGATCAGTTTGGTAAGCGACCCCCTTGATCGCAGACCCTGGCACTGTCCCAGAAGGCTCTGGTGAGGGTGAGCCTGGGCCGGGGAAGGACTAGAGAGATTTGCTGTGATTGAGGGCATGGCCACAGTGAGCTGGTGGTGTTGGCAGTTTGTGCACTTTATACAGTTAAAAGTGTATTCCTGGTCATCATTTAGAATGTGTTTTTGAATGCGTATTCTTTCAGACTACACTGAAGCTTTCTTTTAATGTTAGTGCTATTTATATAAAACATGACAAATATGTGGTTTCTGACGTGCAGCATAAGCTGAGTCCCAAACGTGAAGCACAGATGCAGCGTTAACCCATACAGGGTGTATAAAAGGAGGCATTGGGTTACGTGTGGTGCATGGAAACAGTAAGTAAAACTGTATTTTAGGGCAGTTTGATACAAAGTAAAATTTTGTAGGAAGACTTACAGGGGCAGCTAAATAGAGAAAAAAAGAAAAAAAGATGGGCATTAAATGGAAAAGCTTGTGATGCGGTAGTCTAGGAGTTTAGGGGTTGTAGGCGTTATGGCAAAATGTGGGATTGGAAAGTAGAAGACAAAGGAAATAGCACCGGGATTGAAAGACCCGTAGAGAGTTGAAGAAAAAGAGTAAGCTGCAGAGTGATGACAAGTACAGTGCTTTGAAAAGGAGCAGTAAAAGATAGGAATTACTGTAGTGGCACAAAACAGATTAACAAAATTATGCTGTTCAGTGCAACCGCACTGTGCACTCTGTGTAATTAGAGTCCAATATATTAATGCCACAATATGGTAAGTGTTCTAAATTATGGCCTAGTAATTAAGAACCAACTACTGGGAGTATATTTTGTTTCCAGTTGAGATTACTAGAGATTTTAATAAATAATTTAATCTTGCCAAGTATTATGCTTTATATATACTACTGCTTTCTTCCATTACTGCAAAAATACATATTTCTTTAACCTTGCTTTCCCTAGCACATGGGTCTGTGTATGGGCACCTGTATTGAAGAGAATAACTTCCACGAATCCTGAAACACCCAAACATCTAAACACATTAACTTCTTTTTAAAATTGTAAGCTGTGCTTCTTTTCCAGTTAAACTAAACTGCAAATTTTACAAGACTTGCAATAAAGTCAGGAGTTAGCAATACAGCAGTTTCTCCCCCTCCTCACATAGAAGTGAGGTTGTAGCAGTGGTTTTGTGTGTGGTCGGTGTAGTTTTCCTCCACCTTTGCACTGAGTTTTACTCCTGCCTCTTTTCTGGTCATTTAATCATGTGCATCTTCAAATGTCACTCTTGACACCTCATAGGACTTGCAGGTTGTTTTTGATAGTTAACTTAAACTTGTGATTCTTCCTGTTGAAACACGTGGTTGGCAGTTCTAAGAATGATGTGGAACATCACCGCAAAAATTTAACATCTGCAGGTGCTTTGAGTTCCTTCCTGCTACTTTTCCAGTGTTTTTCTACTGAAATTACTTCCTACCACCCGTATGTGTACTTGGACATCTAGACATTCTGTATACCTTTCAATTGTAGGTTGTTTTCTCGTGCTATGTTGCTTTTTATGGGAGTTTCTCCCTTTCCTAGAAAGTGTTTCTTTCAGCCATTTAGGGGCCTTCACTTACTTGTCCATTGCAGTTGAGCACCTTACAGTTGGATTATGATTTCCTGCTTTAAATGTGTTCAGTCATTCAATCCCCTTCTTAAAATGACAGGGTGATTTTATTTTTGTCTGCACATGTAACGACCAGCACTTCTTTAAAATAACTTGATACCTGATTTTGTTGCAAAGCATTTTTTGAATTTTGGAAATGTTTTGTTCGCACTGTAAAAAGTCACCAGCTATCTGAGATAGTTTTAAACCACAGTTGTATTAGATGGATAGGGATCTGTCACTGTCCTGTCACAGTAGGTGAGAACCTGTTCAGCAAGGTGTACTGTGCATGTGCAATGAGGGGAGTGTTTTTGGCATTTTTTATCACTGCGGGTTGGTTATTCTGTATCTGTGTTAACCAGATTCTTTTCACTGGCTGCGTCCATTTTGTTGTTGTTTTTCAACTCCCAGAATCAACTTGCAAAATATTATCCTGTGGCCATATTTGCTTTACAAGGTTTCATATAACATGGTCCTGGAGCACCATGTTCCTGTCTCTCTTTAGTGGAAAGGAAGGGCATTCGCAGATGAGAAAGAAAACAGAATTTCACGGCTGTGGCCATCATTCATAGGCTGTCATTGCTCAAAGATACTAAAATATTTTTTTTAATAATCAGTTGTTTGATAAACGTTCAGTTTGTCCTTATAATAGAGTGATATTATGTCTTCAATGGAATGTTTTTGTTAAATCTAATATGTCTTTTCAGGAATCACAAGAGAACCAAACTTCATTTCCAAGAGAAGGGTACCTTACCATAATCCACAGATTTCAAAGTCCTTTGAATGGACAGCAGATTGTGATTTGAATGACCCACTTGAAACTGAGGCTCTTAAGACTGCAGAGTTGCACACAGACCACAACAACAATGATGTGAATCAGGAAAAAATTGAAACACCAGAAGGACCCAGACTTGCCCCAAAAGTTCAGTCACATGCAGGAGATTCTAAAGGTGAAACAGGTCTTGCCCTTGCAGAAAACAGCATGAAGAGATCACCCTCTGCAGCTCCGCCAAATCAAAATGAAGTTGCATGTCCAAAAAAGGAATTTGAAAAAATGAGTAATGGTGTAAGGGAAGATTTTTTTTTTTCTATAATTGACCAGTATAAAAATTACTAATGTGATTTTTACAGTAGTACACATACACCAGCCTCTGTTGTCTGACTCTCTCCTTAGTTCTATATTTTGATGTTCTTCTATGTTGTAGCTTCTCTGTTGAGAGAACAGTATTTTCGAGACCAGATTTAGGTTCCACTTAGGTCAATAGGCATTTTGCCCTTCGTACGCTGTCTCTGTTGATTTCAGTTAAACAAGGATTTGGCCAATTATAGACTTTCGGGGCTTGTCAGATATAATGAGAAAATGTACTTTGCATTCATTTAATTGATATAACCAAAACCAAAACCATTGGTTTGAAAGTGTGCATTAAAAGATGATTGGTTTGCAAAACATTGTAGGAAAGGGAACAATTGGTGTTAATTTTTTTTTTCTTATGTTGTCAGCTTCACAGAGTCCTTCAGAGGAAGGCAGGCATGAATATTTCACGTTTAAATACTTTGCCTAGAAATTCTGAGTATCAAAGCCAATTTGTTTGGAAGAGTCCTCATGAAAAGTCACCAATACTTGCAGCTGAACAGGTAACTTTAAAGAACCCAAAAAATAAATGAATACTTTTCTTTCATGTGTCAGCAAAATTGTTTACTTTACAAGATTTCCTTTCTTCCTCTTTGGTGGGATGTGTGTCCAAACTTGAATGCTGTTACGGGGTATTTTTTTTTCTTCCAGTACACAGAAGTGCAGTATAATTAGATTTGTCTCCCTGTGATTCTTAATTGTAGTCACGTGTAATTACTTGTTCTCGTTCTCCCTGGTTGTATTCCGTCCTTTCTAACAGGACCATTTTCTTCTGTTTGCATTGGTTTACCTTAGGAGCTCTAAGATTCTACTCAATGTTACCCTTCATTTTTATCATTTTTATGTTACCTAATGCATAGCTAATCAACAGATGAATGTTCAGGTGTTCTGTATTGTATTAATATGTCTTGCCACTGAAATCATTCAGGTTTCACTATTTATTCTCATGGTCTTTTATGGGTTACTAAAGTTTCTTATTCTCCATCTCCGACTCTGTGCACATACACTTCTAAGCCCTAAAGTGCATCTTTGTAGGTTTTTTTCTTTCAAGAGAACTGCTTATATTTAAAAGTGGAATCTTCTCATTTTAAGACACTCTTGTGGCATTTCAATATGTATCATGCGTTTTTGAACTTTGTAGGATTGGAAATGCTGCTTTTTCTAATCAGACCACAAAGAGTAACTCTGATTGTGAGACTGTTTTGTGTTTTCAATTTATTGTTACTGGGATCAGGACTTAGGAGACTCAGTCTATCTTTTGGTCATTTTATAGTATAAAATAGGCACTTCTGCTTTCATTTTGTCTTCTGTTTCTTCACTAGGAGCATATACATTAGTGGGATTATTACAGATGGTGCACTCTTAATTCTTACCCACAGGTAGCAGATTTGTTCAGTAACAGCTTTCAGAGGCAATAAATGTTGGTAACTAGGATAAATCACTGTAAAAATTGTTCCTGTCTTTTTCTTGTTGGAATTTTATAGAGAATTCTGTTTGATCCAATTAGAAATCAGTTTGATAATTTCATTGTTGATGTTTGTGAATGTTGTGCTGTTTCAGAAGAAAGACACTGGAATCTAAAATAGCAAATTTTTTTTTTTGCACAGCTTATACAGAATAGGAAGCCATAAGAATAAGTCTGTAGGCACTATAAATCCTTAGATAAATAGAAGTTAGAGAAAATCTAAATATGTATAAATGTTTGCATGTTGTAAACTTCAGATTTGAGTTTCATGATAAAAATTAGATGTATTAACAAACTCGTTTTCTTTTGATTGCTATTGATGTGATGGAGAATATACCTGAATACTGAATAACGACAATACCTTTCTTTCAAAGAGATTCTATGAAACTATCCATGTTAGGTTGTAAGTCAGACCTAAACTCTCATAGCAAAGCTGGGGAAAATGTATACTTGTGACATGCGGCGTGGTCTTTTAATCCAGCACCCCATGAGGACATGATACCTGACCATGTGTTAGGCAAATTCTCTACCTTGGTGTTCTAATACAGTATTGATTGGAAAATAGTGGATAGATTAAATTAAGCATCCAGTTCTAAACCACAGAACTGTTGTCTGTTACTTACGGACTGGATGTGTAGTGAGGACTTATAGGGAATTTTTATGGCATGCGTTTTAAAAATATGATCCTACATGCAACTCTGAAGCTGAACTGTCTTCCCAAATAAAGAAGACCTCTGTTAGTGAACTTCAGTATGAACAGTGTTTGACCACAGGTTTAACTGTGTCTGACTCCATCACTTTTAAATGTATTTTTATCAGATTAAGTTTCTCTTCAATTTGTCGTAGAAGTTCATTAGTCTGGACATGCTGTATTTGTACACATGACCATCTCTCTGCTCACGTGTGAGTGTACTTGCATGAATTGGTTAACTGATTTTGAAAATTTAGCCTTAAGGTAAGCAAATCACACTCTTTTTTTTTTTTTTGTTTTTGGTTTTCTTTCCCCAAAGGTTATTTGCAACTCCAGTAAACCCATAGCTCCATTTAAATCTCCTGCAATTACTTCTGAAACTGCGTATGAGAGAAACTTCAAAGAGTCTCCTCCTGTTAAGGGTCCACAAGAGAAAGATGGTTCAGAAGAGAAAGAATTGCCGGTTGGTGAACGAGTAAGTATTTCCATTAAAGATAGTGTACTTCTGTAATTTTGCTTGTTCTTTTCTGTAATGCAGGGGTGGGTTTATTTTGATTTTTTTTTGGTTACATTTTAGGGCTGTTGCTAATGACACTGGACTCTGTTAGTAATGATTTTGCTATAAAAGACTGAAAATAACACTGTATAGGTCTGTTTGCTCTTAGGGGTTTCTGTAGTGGGTTCTGTAGTGCATTTGTTCAGTTTACAATGACATTTTAAGTATGTTTTTCTTGTCATCTTAATTTATGAGTTTTCGAGTGGGTTCTTTTTCTTTTTTTAATTGAAACTTTGTTTTTAGTCATTAGGATACTTTTCGAAATCTACATCTCTGATTTATACTCATTGGTACCAGTGTAGTCTCTTGGTATGCAGGAGGGCTGGGTGGGAGGTCTGGAACTTTTTGGATCTCATAAATCAGACATAGTGTCAATTAAAAAAAAATACTTTGTTGTATGGAAGATGCCAGTTGGAACTGATTTTCACCCAATAGTTGTAATTTGAAGTAACATGGAGGAAGGGTTACAGTTCTTTTGCCTTTGCCTTGATAAGTTGAAAGGTAAGTAATTTATTTATTTATTTAAAGTATTTAGCACCGGGCTATAACAGCACGTTGTGTAGCCTACGTAGGCTCTGTTACTCAGTCCAAAACATTAAAATGCCTTTCTGAAAGTAATTCAGCTGTCCGAGGCCTTTGCATTTCCTAGTTGTGCTGTTGACTTGGGCCAACTTAAGTGGACTTTTAGGAAACATGACTTTGGCCGTTTTACCAGATACGTTTATAGAAAGGGAATTGTTTCAGACTGAGCCTTCTAAGAATACGTGAGAGCCTTGTAGACTGGATGACAGCTAACCTGTTTTGCAAGATGGACATATGAATGTCTATTTTTGTAGCAAGCTGCCAAGTGTAGTGTTGTCTAAATTCCTGCAGGTTAGCTAACCATCCTTCAGGTAGGAGGATGACATACGAGTCTCCTCAGTATCCATCTCTGTTCCTCGATAAAACAGAAAGAACCATTGGCAGACAACATGTTCACTAGGACCATTACTGAGCAAAACACATGGAGTGCCTGTGGCTCAGTTCTTAAGGACGATTGTTGGCTTTGGAGGCTTTATCATTTAAAACTGAGACCTGCCCAGTGCTTTAAATCTCATCTGGGAATGAGGAATTTTATGTCTCCTTTTGCCTTTAGGCAATGTGAAGAAAGCTTGAAAGGCATGAGACTTTCAGGAAGCATTTCTTTGTTTTTAATATTGGAAATTCAGTTTATGTTTTCCCAAGAGAGCTAATAAAGTGAAGGAAGAGAAGGCATGAAAAGGGAATTTTGTTGAAAGCGTCTAAAGCACTTTTTCTTTACACCGATATCTATTCTCTGATGAATATCTTGAAAAATTTTTGGGAGATTTTGTTGGGCTTTTTTTTCTTTCCTTTTTTTTCGCTTGAGTTTGAATAATATCTGTGAAGATCTCTAGCAGAATCAGAAATTATGTGTGAGATTTCCAAGAGGATAAAATAAGTAAGAAAAAAAAGTGTCTCTGATGTGGAGACTTGAACAAGTCAATCTGACCCTTTATAAACCAGAATGGCAGCAAATTAAAAATTTGCCTTTTGGTTTATTATAAATTGGTTTATGTTACTTGGCTATAAGGCTAAGAGTTTGGTGTGTTTTTTTTTAAATTTTATTTATTTATTTGTTTATTACAAATTCCAGAAATATACATGTTAAGTCTTACACAACTCAGGTTAGAATGCACAAGTATCATTTTATTTCTGTGTTTCATGTTGAATTTATTTTGTTAAGCATACAAAATGGATCATCTAACTAACTGAATGTTGCACTCCGAATCTTAGCTTTGGCGTTTTGCTGGTTTATTTTTGTATTAGCAAAGGAATGTAATATTCTTGTTTGTATTTAATACGCAAAACAGCTAACATGAAAATAAAAGTAGCTTTTTGTAAAAGCTTGACATCGAAAGGAGTATGAGGATTTTCAGATTGTTAGCTAATGTGGTATTTTTAAAATTATCTTTACCTTAGAGTAAGAGGGAAGAACCATTTCAAAAGCCAGCAGAAGATGCAGCAAAACAAGGGAAATCAGAACAGAAACATCCTAAACAAAAAAATAAGCAACATATCAGTCCAAAGCCCCCCTCTTTACATACAAGTCGTGGGTATGTATAAAATAGGAAAACCTAGCCTAGTGAATAGGTGTGCAGCAGCCTAATGTTTAGAATGCCGGATGATGGACCTTTAACCACACCATGATACAGCTGCAGGGGCACATGCCTCCTTGCAGTGCTGGGGTGGAGCTTCCTGGGGCTACATCTGAAAACCTGATGTTAGCTTCCATTCCCTTCTCTGGGCGGCAGAAGTGGAGGCTTTGTAACCATACTCATTCAATTGGATCATCTAGTGCAATAATAATATTATTAATAAATTTAACATGAATGAAATTAAATTGGTGCAGTGCTCCTACTAAACGTTCAGTGAGTGCTTTGGAAGTTGTAGTCACCTTTCAAACTGCTCTCCTGTGCTTGCTCCACGCCTTAAAACTATGATGATTGTACTTGATGTCTGCTTTTTCTAGTCCATACCACCTTCTGTCCCAGAGTAACAAAAGCAAACACAAGGTAAAGAAATCTGTCCCATTTAGGGTAATCTGACGAGCATGGAAATTAAATTGGATGTTAGAGGGCTATCCAAGCATCTTTTTTTCTTCTGCCACATACCTACATTGCAGGAACTGAACTCATGTTTCCATTTTCTACACATCCGAGATATGCCAAGAGAGATGAAAACCCGGAATGGATGTAGGTTTTAATATGCATGAATTAATCTGTCTCTGCTGTCTTTGTGCTTAATGTATATCCCAGTGATTGCTTTCATTCACGTGACTTTCTGGCAGTGTTAAGGCATTGGATTAAAGATGGGAGAGGAGTCTTACCTAGGTCTGAATGCTGGTGGATTTTGGGAGATAATTACAAAATGATCACCCAAAATTCTGTGAAATAAAATTGCTTTATGAAAAAGTGATTTGATATAGTGTAGTTAAAACCTCTAACTCTTTGGATTTGATAGCTCTTTGACATAGTAGATTGTAGTCAGTTTTGCAGTGAGTAGTGTGTAAAATTCTTGATCATTTGCTATGACTGTTTTATTCAAGGACAAATTTCTGCTTCTTATGCCTTCAGTGTGGTAGCACAAGACAAAAATTTCCAAAACAGTCACTGGGCAAATAGCTGTCAAAATGTGCAAGTTCTCAATGTGCAGACAAGACTGTCACTTTATATGCAAGCTGCATTGCATGGCCTGATTTTGCAGCAGAGTGACTGGGATCAAGGCACAGCAGTGGTGTGTTTTTTGAGCTAATCCATTAGTTTCCCAACCAAAACTGAAAGAATTCTGTCAGTTTCAAAAAAAGCGACATAACAGAAAGAAATTTTAACTGTAAAGGGTTTTTTGCCTTGGTATTTTTCTTTTTACTAGGTGCGTTTTATGTTCTATTTCTGAAGAAGGACTGAAAAAGAAGGCTTTTTCACCAATGCTGAATATGTTAAAACAAAGTCAGTAATGTTCTGAAGCAAGATTAGAAACAAAAACCTCTTTAGATTTAAGCTGATAACTCCACAGTTCAGTGCCTAAGGACTTGAAGTATTGCTTGTTGCCTGCTAGATGATGTTAATTTTTCTATGTATGTATGTGTGTGGCAGAAGGGAGAACGAATCCATCTTTTCAAGTACTGAGGCCTTTTGAAGATCAAAGCCGGTAGGACACAGATGAATTATACTGACCATTGTTCTGGTAGTCAGGTGTTTTTATCCCCAACAGTTCACCCCACCCATATGCAGAGTGCCTTTAGAGTGGAGTTCATAGAAGGAAATGTCTCAGACACATTAGTGCCAAACTGGGCATTTTTGCTTAAATGCATCTTCATCAGTGACGTAAACCAAGGTGCTGCACTTTGCATTGACGTAATTGAGGCTCGTATGTATGTTATGTTCTGCTGATTGGGCTGTCAGGGCAAAAACTTTTGGCAGAAGGATTGTGGGGAAAAACCAACAGGAGTAACTACTTGAAAAGCCACCAACTGTGAATGAGCTTTTTCACAGCTTTCCGAGTTGTGTTGGTATGGATGAGCTGTGTTTCAAAGCATGTGATTTTTCACATCTCAGCCCTGGCATTTGAGTGCGATTATACTTATGATTGTTGATACAACTTTAAAAGTGCTTTTAAGAGTGTTCTGGATATCAAACTCTACTCTTTCTGTCTTTTTTTCCTCCCCTTATTTTTGGTTTCTTAGGAAGATGAACACTGAATATAGGTCAAAATTTTTGTCTCCAGCCCAGTATTTCTACAAAGATGGAGCTTGGTCTCGTATTAGGAGTAAAGTTCCCAATCAGGTGAGTATTCTTAAAATATGTGAAACCTGAGTATGCTTTGTATTTTGATTTTTAGATGCAAAAAACTTTGAATTGTGGTGTTTTATACAGTTTTTGAGATTGTAATGCTAACAGCTCAAGCACCCAAAGGTGAGCATACAAAGATTATTGCATGCAGCCTGAGTTAAGTGGTACACACAATGTTTCTGTAGAATATTATGTAATTTTTCTGGCATGTAAGACTTTCATTTGAAGACTGAATGTTGCATCAGTAACATTGAAAACAGTCAGGAGCAGTGCTAAGCTTCAGGAGCAACTGACTGACAGGCAAGTAAGGGAAAGGGACCTGTTGCCTTGGAGTATATTGTGTTTGTTGCACAGCCAGCTGGGAGGAGTCACTGCAGTACAGACAAGAGAAAGAATGAGGAGACTGCAAGTGGTGGATGGATGTTCTGCTTTACCATGCAGGATCCTTTATGGGTCATGTTTCAGATAGGAAGTAAGTATGTACGGCATTTAATTAGAGTATATGAGAATCCAAGAAATTCCCACACTGTAGGTAAGTGTTTTGGATGTGTCAGACTTTTCCATGGAAATTTTCTTGCTGACAAGGGAATTGCAGGAAGCTATAAAGTAGGCATGAAGAATTCAAAAAAGAATTATTGGGATTTTTAGGGCCTTCTAAATGAAGGAGTTGTGCTGGGTAGCTGGAAGA